TGGCAAGGACCTCCTCGGTCGGCCGAGGAGCCTGCTCGATGAGGCCATGCTTCTCAGCATAGTCGAGGATTGTGCCGACCGGGTGAGTAAGGGCAACCCCCGGCCGTTCCAACCTCGGCCGCCAGTGGCGGTCTTTCTTACTTGGTCCACCAGAGCCGTGACGGCCCTGGGCACCCTGGCCGGCCAAGGATGGACCCGGGGCCGGCGAAGGATTTGTCTTCTTGGAGGGATGGCCTCCCTCTTTCTTGTGGTTGTGGAGCTCGTCGGTGTCGGCGTACAAGCTTCCACGCTGGAGCGCCTATGCGTACGACCTTGGAGGATCGGTGATGAGGCTCCTGGCGTACGGGGAGCTGCGGAGGGCTCCCTGGTACATGACGAGGAGGGTGCGCTCATCGGCCCCCTCGACCTCCTCGGTCTCCCTCGTCCACCGATCAATGAACGACCGGAGGGACTCATCATGTTGCTGCTTGACGGAGAGGAGATGGGTGAAATACTTCTTCGCGCACTTCCTCCCGGCAAAGTGGTTGAGGAAGCGTTGGGCAAGGTCCTGCCATGAGTCAATACTTCCTTCAGGGAGCGCGTTGAACCACTCATACGCTGGCCCCTCAAGAGTAGAGAGGAACCAACGGCAGAGGTATTCATCCGACGCGTTCACCATCAGCATGCTGTTCTGATAACGGCTGAAGTGTTCCGAGGGGTCTGATCGGCCATCGTAGGACTTGATGGCGTTTCCCTTGTACTTCTCCGGGATGGGGGCCGAGAGCACCCTGTTGGTGAAAGGGGTCCTGGTCCTGACCTGGATGACGGGGTCACCTCGTCCTTCGGCCAACTCCCTTTCCAGGGCGCTGACCTTGTTCATGAGAGCGTTGAGGCCAGGGTCGTTGGAGGCGCCGGCCGTGGGGATGTTCGCCGATTGCCCGGCCTCCATCTGGGCCAGCCTCCTTTCCAGCTGAGCGATGACCTCGTCCCGGGGGTCCCTGGCGGCCGCAGCGGCGCCCTGCTGGTTTATCATGCGCTCGTCGTGGGCCACATTGATCTGGTGGCGCACGTCGTCCTCATGCAACTTCCCCTTGCCCTTGTCCAGGCGGGGCTGGTCCGCTGTCCGGGACACAGACCCCAAGCTTTCCCTTGACGAGCCAGGCCGACGCTCACCAATCCGCCCTGCCATCCTCTCTGAAACCGGACGACGGCGCGTGTCACCTAGCCTATTGAAGGCAGAGGCTTTTCCACGCGCTGGGGTCTGCCCAAGCCGAAGAGGGGAAACGGGGTGGGAGTGGGACGACGCCGTGTCCTGGGCCATCACACCCTCATCGTTGCCTATCTGGACGGCCAACGGTTGGGGCTGAGGAGGTGGAGTGACGTTCCCCCCGGTCCTTGGCAAGAGTGCGCTGAGGACGGTGGGGTTCTGGGCCAAGCTGGCGATGATGACCGACAGCGCGGCCTGGACCTGTGGATCCACAGACGGAGAGGCCGTGGCCATAGGCTGGGCTGGGGCGTGGTCTGTCTTCTCAGCTCGTTTCTTGTCCAAGCCGATGCGGGCATCAGGGGCTCCGCCGTTGAGTTGGTTGCGGAGGTCCGTCGTGAGGTTGATGGCCTCCTGGAAGACGTCCCCTCCGCCGACCTGGTCGGCCATAGCATCCTCCTCGTGCTCCCTGGTCTCCTGGTCCTCAGGGATGGCCTTGCTGACGAGGTTGCGGTTTGACTTAGTTCTTCCCATGGTCAGTGGTTAGCTGTGCTTGGTAGCGACGAAGGGTGCTAACTTTATTGTTCTAGCTCTCAACGAGAGCACCAAATGATAGAGTATATATCTAGAGAGAAGTGAGAGCTAGAGAGAGAAGTGCAATATATGCTTCAATAGAATGATTTTGTAACCCCCATAACTACTTCCAGAGGAAGTATTTATAGGAAAAATACGGGCTGGGCTCCCAAGCCTTGGGCTTGGGAGGCCCATTTACAACTGGACCGCTATTGGGCCGAATACAAAGCCACTAGTGGGCTGTACAAATGAGTAAGTGTAAAATCCGGTTCTGTGGGTCTCCCGTGGCCGACGAGGGCTTTGGCCGACGAGGGCACGGCCGACGCGGGCACGGCCGACGAGGACACCCTGGTTCCTTGGCCTCAAGATCATATTCTGGATTGGCCCTTCTTCGGCCGACGAGGGTCTTCTGGCCGACGAGGGCACCGTGTAGTGACTGTGCTTTCTGTTCTGAGTATGTGGGTCCTGGGGCCTAGACCCATATACTCCATCAGTGACGAATGAGAAGATCTTTCCAATATGGTAACTCCCAAAAGATACTCCTCTTTGTCCACTTATGGGTATCACAAAACCCATATGGCTTCTTATTTGGTTCTTGCATAACTGTAGGAATACGTCGAAACCGGTTAAAAATTGCTTCCCCGGTCAATCTCGGGGGCGGGGTGTCTCGTACCACTCTACCTCTAATGAAAGACTTTTTGTCCTTTCGATATCGGTGGTTTTCCAGGAGAAACTTGCGGTGACAATCAAAGTAGCATTACGGGGAACACTTTTGATTAGTTTAAAGAGTGGGATATTTACCTCACAATTGGTGAAGGTCTCGTAGAGGTCTCGATCATTCTCCAGTTTCCTTGTGTTCTTCAGTGCCTCAGGGAATGGAGGGAGTGGTTCATATGATGAAAAAGAAGGGAATTTAGTTTTTGTTGGTTCCTCCTCGTTTGGTTGAAAATATTCTCCGGGATCAATCCCATTTTTAGCTTGCTTTTCTTCCTCATGCACCTGTTTCAATGTTGTCTCATCCCTCAACATGATAGCATTAACATGTTGTCTGGGGTTTTGCTCCGTTTGAGATGGGAGTTTACCCGAGTCTTTTGCCTCAAGTCGGCTCACCGCAATTGAGATTTGGCTCATTTGATTTTCTGAGTTTTGGATGCTAGATTTCGTTGTTTCTTGGAACTGAGCCACACTTTGTTGCATCGTTGACATATTTGTAGCAAGTGTTCGGATCATGTCTTCGGTGGACATATTTGAGCTTGAGGTTTGGCCTTGGTGATTTGGGAAGGATTGTTGGGAGGGCTGATTTTGTTGTGGTTGAGGGTTCCCATATCTCAAATTCGGGTGATCTCTCCACCCGGGGTTGTAAGTGTTAGAGTGTGGATCGTACCTCTTTTGTTGATGAGACTGAAAACCCAAGGCATTGACTTGTTCTTCTTGGAGAGTTGGGCAAGAATCGGTTGGATGCCCTTTCTGTGTGCATATGCCGCACACCTTGACTTCTTGGTTTCTAGGATTCAAAAGGAAATCCTTAACCAAATAAGTCAAGCCGGCCATTTGACTTTCTAACGATGTAGATGATTCTACCACGGCAACTTTACGGGTTGAGGACCGCCCGTTGTAATGCCTAGAGTTTTCGGCCAACTCCGAGATCAAGCTTGTTGCTTGTGAGGGAGTTTTGTTGACAATGCCGCCCCCACAAGCGGCATTCACCATGTGTCTATCTTGATCCGCAAGACCATCATAGAAGTAGAGGATGAGGTCTTGCTCTGTGTATCCATGGTATGGGCAACTAGCTCACAACTTTTTGAACCGTTCCCAATACTCATACAAGGATTCATCATCTTTTTTATCAATGTTGCTTATTTGTTTTTTCAAAGATGATGAGACAGAGGCGGGATAGTACCTTTCCAGGAAGCATTTCTTCATTGCCGCCTATGTATCTATGCTTTCCGGAGGAAGATAGAATAGCCAATCCTTAGCCGTGTCCTTCAGTGAGAATGGAAAGGCTCTCAGCTTGATTTGTTCTTCTGTAACATTATTCGGTTTCATACTAGTGCAAACTATATGAAACTCTGCAAGATGTTTATTTGCATCCTCGCCTCTTAGGCCATGAAATGAAGGGAGTAGATGAATGAGGCCCGATTTGAGCTCAAATGTAGCACCTTCATCAAGAGTGGGGAAGGTGATACATAGAGGTTGTTGATTTAAGTTAGGAGTCGTGAGCTCCCTCAACGTTCTTCTTTCTTGAGCCATAGTGATTGGCTTTTCGTTCTCGCTAGAATAAGAACTAGCACTTGATGATTCCTCTGAAGAAGTATCCGAAAATAAATTCCTAAACCTCTCGAAGGCTTGTTCTGTTTCGGGCTTTGTTTGGTAGGTGATTTGGTTTATAGATCGATGTTTAACCATATACTCAAAAAAAAGCTCAGAAGAATAGAAATCTAAGAACTCTTTATGTTTTGTTTATTTATATTTTTTTTTATTTTCCTTGAAATAAAATAAAAAGAAAAATTAATTGCCTTTCCCCGGCAACGGCGCCAAATTTGACGAGCACTTTGTCACGGTGCGTCAAAATAATTCGATACTAACACTTATACGTAGTATAGGTGAAGTAGAGTTCGTATCCACAGGGAAAAGAATATGTCTCTTTTTATAAAACTATGTAAATGAAGGGGGGGTTTGGATTGAATGATTTGATTTAATAAGAAACTAAGATGAACGACTTATATGAGATTTAATTCAAGAATAAAAGGGACTTGGCTTTGCTACTTTCCATTTGTTGATATATTTTAGTCGATCCTTGTTATATCTATAACTTATCCCCTCTCGAATACTCAATCGAGGAGTATCTCCAATTCATCGAGGGTAGTCATTAACAACGACTGTTCATTAATAACTCTTACTATTAATCAAATATAGAACAACGCAGTATACCGATATAATAGTAGCAGTCAATCTTTTTAACTCCTTGATGAAATCAATTGAGATTGATAACCTCAACACAACGGTTTCGGTTTAACCAACAAAATTGATCCCTCTTAAGTCTATTAACCACAACCGTGCATTAATAAACCGAAGTTACTTACTTGTGAAACCAACAACGATTAACCATCGGTTCGTTGATCATTTCTAGTAGTAATTAATATCGGAACGTTAACTAATCGTCACTTAGCAACCCTCCAACATTAATATAGAATGAGATTAAGGGAAGAATTAATAATCAAGAGAATGTTTCCATATTTTTTATGTTTCCTAATGTACTCAGAACTCTACTTATGATATATATAACATCTAGGGTTTCCAATTGGGTAAGTCATTCCATTATTCTCACAATTTCTTCATAGATGCTATTACATGCATAAAAAAATAGAAAGGGAAGAAAAATGTAATGCAGAGTATAATCATCAAAAAGCATATGGAGCATGTTAATGTGCTCATTACGAAGTATGTTGGCATGATGAGTGACCATGATTATCTAAATATTTTAGATGAATGAATCATGATCATTCATCGCGTCAACGTGCACCATAGTGAGTACGTTAGCATGCTCCATACATTTACTTGTATAAATCTACATATATTTATTTAATAGCTTTGATATTCATGCTGAGAATGTCCACCACCGGTATGACCAATTCCTCCGTGGTTGGTTGGGAGTGTGGATGACCGCTTCCGGCGGCGACGCTCCTCATCCTTGAGATGTTTGGTTTGAGCTTTCAAATCCTTTGGAGTCATCTCCATCTTACTGATCTTCTCTAGTTTCCCTAACACTTGTTCCATGTCAGGTCGGAGTTTACATTGAGGGTCGAGACACCTTATGATGAGCTCAGCCACTTGAGAAGCAGCTTGGAATGGGTAACCATGCTCCAGACGAGGATCCATTAAGTTCCTCAGCTTGTTTTTGTTTGGAAGTAAGGGTTTTGTCCACTTGACTAAATTATATTGATGGGGTTGCCGGCTTGAATCAAGAACCCTCATACCAGTTATTATTTCAAGTAGTACTACTCCAAACCCATACACATCACTCTTCACATATAAATGGCCTGCAATATCATCAAGGATGAAAATATTATGATCTTGATGGAAATATTGAAAATATATATCAAGGGTTGAATTTCATCATTGCATGCAACTATATACATTCCATCTCTTATTTTGTGGAAAATGTTTAAATTATTTGCTTTATCATAATTAAATTGCAGGTGGACAATGACCCTGGCCTTGTGGTATTTTTAATTACTCAGAAATATGCCCCCTTAATGTTCTGGTGTGCAGATTGGCATTGGCAAGCTTAATGTTTTTCACTAAACTTTGAAAAAAGAACATAATTGTATGTTTTTACTAATCTAATCTATTAGTAAAATTTTTTTGAATAAGATAGAGAAATCATTTTTGGTCCCAAGACAATTCTAGTTGTTACCACCGATGATCTACACTATACTTTTTGTATTTTGTAAATTTGTATGCACAACTATGCTTCTTTTATCTATTCTTTTCTCAATAACTACAATAATAAAGTGCATTCATGAGACAAAAATCATTGTATTGCATAAAAAATAGTGAGAATTATCTAACAATCATAAATAGAAACTATCTAAAAAATTCAATTTACATAAACTGATATACTATACAAGAATACTTATAAACTCAATACATAAGCTACCTGTGGACATGTATTCGGGAGCTGCATAACCATACGTCCCTACGACGTCAGTTGTAACGTGTGAATTACCGTCAACGGGACCAAACTTGGCAAGTCCAAAGTCGGAAAGTTTTGCATTGAAGTCCTACAAATAAATCAGATAATCTTTGTAATTATATTCCAAAAAAAATCAGCATTATCCATACTTTGTACTCCCTCCGTTCTTTATTATCTGTCCTCTTAGGCTTTGACACAGATTTAAAGAGGGAAATAATTGGGGTAGTATAAAAGGTGTAGTGGGTTGTGGGTAAATGAAAAAGTAGGAAAAATAAAGGGGTAATGGTAATAAAAGTGAGGGTATAAAGGTATTTTGATTAAAAAAACTTACTAAAAAGGGAAACAGAGACAAATAATTAAAAATGTCTCAAAAAGGAATACGAGACAGTTAATAAAGAACGGAGGGAGTACTATTTTATTTTGATATTAGGATATTATTATTATTATTATTATTATTATTATTATTATTATTATAGAGAAAAGCCAAAAACAAGGAAAGATACTTTACAGATTTATAATTAAATGGGAGTAGTTTCCATGTATAGCATTTCGAAAGACCATTTATTAATGAATCAATTAGTTGTAAGATAAATTTACCCCATCAAGTAAAACATTGGATGCTTTGAAATCTCTATAAATGACACTATTCTCAGTATTGTGCAAGAAAACAAGCCCTTTAGCTGCTCCTATTGCAATTTTGATCCTTGTGTCCCAAGAAAGTGGCTCTCCTCCCTTCTCTGTAATAAAATTATTTAATTTGGTTAAAGAATCATATTGAACATAGAATAGGGAAAGAGATGATATTTGATCAAGGGCTTATTACTTCGGAAAAGATGACTTTCTAGGCTTCCCTTCTGCATGTATTCATAAACAAGAAGAAATTGCTTGTCCTCCCAACAATATCCAAATAGCTTGACCAGATTTGGGTGAGAAAATTTCCCTAAAAACTTTACTTCTGCCTGCATTAACAAAAAAGTTATACGTTAAGGATATTAAATTATATATATAATATGAGAATATTACCCGAAATAGGACTAAAAGAGTTTGAAAATTCAAAAATAGGACTGCCATGTTTTTATTCCCAAAATATGACTCATTACTTCCATGTTTTGGCAGTACCAGACTTCAAACATAACAGTATTTTCTAAACTTGTCAGTAATTACTCCTATTTTGGGAATAAAAAACATGACAGTCCTATTTTGGAATTTTCAAACTCTTTTAGTCCTATTTCGGGAACTTTCCTATTATATATTTACATGCATTATAAATTTAACAATTTTACTATATACTCCGTAGAATATATAATTTACAAAGGCTTAGATACGTTCTCTTTTCTACAATATGTATTTTATCGCTTCTTTTATGAGGTCTGTCACCGGATTTTTGTCAACCTTCTTTTTTAAGAAAACGGAATGAAAAAACATAACACTCAAAACTACTTCTAAAATTCTTTAAAAATATTCAAAATATGATTAAATAATAGAGAAAGTTTCTTAAGTAGAAGTAAGAACATTAAAAGATTGAGACAATTACGAATTTAAATTAGGTATTGCTGTGTATCTTATAAAATTATGTAACTTTTTTATCTCATAAATATAAACTTGAGAACATAGCATTCTATTAATGTAAAACAATGATCACACATGATTTCCCGAGATATGACTAATATATATATATATATATATATATATATATATATATATATATATATATATATATATATATATATATATATATATCGAGTTTCCCTAAATATGACTAGTTATGTTTTTCGACATTGTATGACTGAAAAGCAAAAATAAAAATAAAATTTAGCTATGTTAAAATGTTTAATGATCAAAATACCCTTATTTAAAAAATGTGTATTTTACAATATTATCGTCTAATTAAAAATAATGCATTTTATTTCAAAAGATTTCAAAAGATGTTGAAGGGATGAAGTATGAATAAAACTTCAGAGATTTTTCAGCACACCAATAACGACTTCGTCCTATTAGTAACCAGTCCACTGAAGATTTTGACTTTCTAAGTAAACGTTTTTGTGTCAGGTCTTTTTCATTTGATTTTTAGTCAAGATCCAGCTACCGAATAAATAATTGTGAAAAGTACAAAGGAATAATGACATATTTTGATCAAAATATTAAATGACTCGCCATTCTTTGGATTACAATTAAATATATGGGTGAATAATATTTTCTTCCATTAAACTTTCATATTTTCCTAGTTTCCTTTTTCATCCGTATCATTCATATTTTCCCATTTCTAAATTTTCTCATCATATCCTTAATAATTTTAAAAATATAACACTACTACAACTACTTTTTTGGATTTATATATGCTTCATTCCAGCATACTATTTGATTATCTTCTCATCATACTCTCAATAATTTAAATTCTCTTTCACTATTCTTAATTTCACTTACTTTTAAACGGGAAGATATATATTTATTACGAAGGTAGTACTTTTTAGAGATTAAAATATATTCGAACTCGTTTAGTAACCCCTCTTTTGAGCTTAACAAGCTTTACATTTTTACTAAACTCGTGATATTTTAGGATTGCTTTGGCAAACTGAAATTGTGTAATAATCAAAATAAGTAATGTTAAACATACTTTTTGATTGAATTGACTGAAGTTACAGCAAATATAATTTAGCTATTTTCATATAATTTTTATTGATTCTAACAAAACATATTTTAAAATTCATTTTTCAGAAATCATCGATTCAGCAATTAAGTTGCTTCAGGCAAAACTCTCATCAATTTTAACATAATCAACCGGTTTAGGCAAAACTCTATCGATTTCAACGGATTCAACCAATCTGTGTGTCATTCAAAGCCTCGAAAGCTTTCAAATAAATGACAAAAGAATTTACCAGTGTTTTAGGAAGTGAACATAAATCATTGGAGGCAATACAACAAGTGGGAATGGCTGGAAAGAAAGAATTACCTGCCATTCTTTCAATCCTTGCTCGCTATCCGGACTGGATTTCTTGACAGCAACTGGAATGCCAACACCAACTTTGGAAGCTGCATAGGTTTTGGGGTCAATCCAACCCTTAAACACCTTTCCAAACCCTCCTTCTCCCAACATAGTATCTGGCCTAAAATTCCTAGTTGAACTCTTTAGCTCACCCAATTTGAAAGGCTTCAAATTTGGGACAATTATATGCCCACTCGAAGGAACCACCTGACCACCATTGCCGCCTGCTCCCACACCGTCCCTCTCTACCGGAGACGGCGGTGAGCAGGTGGTGGTGGTGCTTGTGCTTGCACTCTTGCTTGTGTTGGTAGTCTCCTTTTCGGTCAATACTTTATCATGAACTGTAAAAAGCCATGAAAGAAAAGAGGGAAACAAAGTAAAAGACAGAGTCAAAGTCAAAGTGAAACAGAGGAAAAAACAGAGCAAAAACAGAGGAAAATAGAGTATGCGTTTCCCTAAGACCCTAAATATGAAAACACTAACAGAGAGAATTGTTAACTAGTGAAAAATATGGTACTCCCTCCCTCTCGAAAAGATTTGGCAAATTGACTTTTCTGGGTCACTTTTGCTCTTTCTCTCTTTCCCAAAGTTTACTTTTCCATAATTATAGCATTTCGAAAAAATTATAAATTGATCTACCTGTGGAGATCTAGAGTTATTTATTATGAAAATTTTGACAACCAAACGTGTGGTATAAGAGAGGAATAATGATTTGGAAATGGTAGTACCTGGGCTAGTGTGTTTGCTGTTGGGAAGATGTTTTACAGGCTTAAGCCAGCAGTTTCCCATAACTCTATCTGTGAATTCTATTTCTTCTACTTTTGGAAGTAAATGAAGAAGAAGTGTTATTATTGAGGAGGGGAAAGTTCTTTGAAGTAACATGCATCTGAGGAAAATAGTATATGTAGGAGACTGCATGTAGGAGTAAGAAAGGAGGATGGCTCTAATTTCCCTTTCAGTCAGCCCACAATGAGTTGAGTCAAAGAGAAAGAGCGGTACAGGAGGCCTATTATTATCGTAGACTTTCCACTCTTTTTCCTATTGGTCATGAGCTTGTCATCAAGATTGTTTGTGGATAACATAAAGTTGTTTTATTTTTTTAATTTATTTTGATAAACATAAAGTTTATTGTGTAGTGTGTTATTTAGAGAAATATTCCGTCCAGTTCATTCACGTGGGTTAATCTTGTTTTTAATGGATTTGATTTACTCTTTTAGAGTCCGTTTGGTGACCCTTTTTTCAGCTTATCAGGCTTATCAGCTAACTTTTTCATCAAATACGTAATTTTTGATTTCACGCGCTGAAGTTTGTAATAAGCAGAAAAAGTAAGGTTGGAGTTACTTTTCTGGCTGTTCTGGCTGAAGTCACTGTAGAGATCATTTTAGCTATTTTTCATATATTTTTTTGTTTAATTTATCAATAACAAATATTTTAAATATAATTTTTTCATAAATCAGCAGAATCAGCCAATACAGCCACTTCAGCCAGAACTTCATAAATTTCAGCAGAATCAGTCAATTCAGTCAATTTTAGTGTTACCAAACAGGCTCTTAGTCTCTTAGATCATCCCCTAAAAATTTAAATATTAATTTCATCTATACGAAAATAAGAGAGTATTCAACATTTTTTCCTACATTACATCACCACCAATAAATTACACTAAACATATTTTTTTACATCAATTTAGTAAAATGTTAATTAAATATTAATAAGTAATGTTTTTCTTGTTTTTTCTGAATATCATGAAAGTAAAAGATTCCATTTCTATGTTACAAAAATCAATAACTTCTTCACTCTCTTCAATTCGGAAAAAAATAAATGAGTTCATGTAAAGTTCACTTATTTTTGGATACATCATGGATTGAAATTTGTGTTTCTGTATTTTAGGGCTCAAAAATAATCTAACATTAAAATTTTCAGACTTGTTTAATTTTATAAATGTGATATTTGTGTCAAATGAAACATTATAAAAATTTATGATTATTGATATATATTTTTTTTGGAAAATTTAGAGTATGAATAAAAAGATATAAGCCTTTAAAAAATGTTCTTACGTGAATTAATTTTCTCTCTTATTAATAAGGCCGGGGAAGAGGTCCACAAATTAATTATATTATTCTTGTTAACAATGTAGAAATTGTATTAAGTGAAGAAGAAAAATAGTGCTTCTCTTAGAGGTTCTTGTGTTTGTGACTTGTAGCCTAGTGGGATCGGCATATGTTAGATTTGCTTACCTTTTCACAAGTTTAAAAGTTAAAAGTTTGTCACAGTTGACCGATCCATATCTATCTAAATTCAAGGTCGGAATTTTATGTCCTAGATGGACATAAAAGGAATTAAATAATTTATTTTCTTTAAAGCTACTATGTATTGTATTTAAGTTTTAAAGAAGGAAATTTGTAGCTTAGCATAACATAAATGCATAGTTTTTTTTTTGATAAACCTTATTGTTGGGATATTGATCCAGAGGCCCAATACCCGGATCAAGAAGGCTCAAGATACCCGGCCCAAACGACGAGCTCATCACTCTATGATGAGTAGATCCAGTGAAGAATTCATGCCGAACGAGATTCGGCCCAAGTAAGGGTTGACCCGGTAAGAAGATATACCGAACGGAGTTCGGGCTATATATCATACTTGGGCCAATTTGACAGCGTCTTCAGCATGGCCGAACATCCCGTTCGAGTAACGGACACCCGACAAGTGGCCAGGTGCAATTAATGCCAGATTGTGACATTAGCAAGTGGAAACATGGGTGACCAAGTCGGTGGAACAACAGCCAATCAGCATAGAGCAGCCCATGTTCTCCATTAGTATAAATAGAAGGTTTAAAATCATTGTAAGGGTTAGCATTTCAATAATCAGGCTCTAGAATAGCATTATTGCTCTTATTTCTTGTATTAAAGCATTGTTTCCGACCTACCGATCGGGAATTTCCTTGTAATCAGACTGGTTAATTAATACAAGTGAGCTTTTGAGTATTAGTGAGTTCATATTTTTCATTTGGTTATACACTTTGATTCTGTACCTTCCTGATATATCCAAAGTTCGTGTTGGGCTTTCGGATCTACGGGATTTACCTTCAACATTGGCGCCGTCTGTGGGAACTGTTCAAAAAGTTTCACATTCAATTATCCTAAAAACCACTATTTTTCGAAAATGGTCAGAATCAGTTCTTACCACACAAACGACGGTTCACGCCGTCACGGAAGGAGTCACACCCCGGGAAATCAAACCCCTCAGGGACAGTCCAGTCGAGGATCATACCCTTGTTTTGACGGGGATTTTGTGGTTCCTGAATCCCTAAGGAGAAGTCCTCAGGCCATGCGAGATATGGCCCAGGTCATGCAGCATATGGCAAACGAGGAGGAAGGAGGGTCCAATTTTACAGGGGAGACTCCACGCACGGAAACAACCACAGCGTCATCCCGTTCGCATGCCCATCGGGATAATCGTCGTAGCGCCCCACCAACAGCGCATCATAGTCCCAGTGACCGAACCCCGATCGGTTCACAAGCCAGGGGACCAACTCCTATTGGTCATCATTTCCAGTATGCCGAACGGGATAATACCAGGGCCGCTCAAAGGCATTGGGACTGGGAGTATACAGACATGAGGGCTCCACCACCGCCCCCTTTGACGGCCCAGGAGGAAGAAATGGCAGAGATGAGGAGGCAGATGAACGAGATGCGAGATCAGATGAACAGGGCGCCTGCACAACCTGCCCCAATTCAGCTCGGAATTACTTCCCCTTTCACAAGGGAAATCATGTATGCGAACATCCACGGAGGTGCCAAACCACCGACCGGTCAAATCTATGACGTGGTGGGAGATCCCCATGTGCATTTGAGGAGTTACCAAGGGGGACTCATGCTACTAGGAGCACCCGAGGCTGCTATTTGCCGGTTTGTTTTTAGTACACTCTGAGGGCCCGCCCAGGAGTGGTTCGGGACACTGCAACCCGGGTCGATCAACAGTTTCGCCGAACTATCGACGTTATTCTTGGCCCAATTTGCTTCCAGTGCCAATCTGAAACGGCATTTCAGCTACCTGACCAGCGTGAAGCAAAACTCCAAAGAGTCCCTCAATCAATTCTTAAAAAGATGGAGGAACGAAACTCTGACAGTGGGAAATATGACGGATGATACCGCCATCACCCTATTCACGAATGCTCTCCGAACGGGGGAGTTATACAAGGATTTGAAGAGGAATCCAGGTACAGCATATGCCGAGGTATTAGACAGAGCTCGCAAGCATGCTGCCCTAGAAGAGGAGATAATGATCAGGGATAAGGTCGTTGCGCCTACTGCCCCAATCAGAATGGCCGATCGGCTGGGTCCTAGCCCAGTGGCCGCTATACCTCCCAAGCAAGGGAGATTTACCCCCCTGGTCCTGTCAGTAGCGACCATTTATCAGCACGAGAGGGACAATATTCCCCTCCCGACTGATTCTTCACAATTTATGGGAGCAGATGACTCTGCTTTTTGTAAATATCAAATAGGAAGGGTCGTGCCACCAACGCCTGTAGGGCCCTACAAACGGCCATTGAGGATTTGATCCGACGGGGTCATCTGGGCAAGTATGTGAATAAGGATCCAAATGCGGTGGGCACTTTGAAACCGATCAGGAAACCTAAAGCTGGCGACGGGATGCCCAACGTGATGCCCAGCCTCAAAATGACGTATATATTCCCCCCAGGGATGAACCAGAGGGCTCGGGAGGCCCCGGAAAGAAACCTCGAATGGAGGTCAAGGTTATATTTGGGGGCGGGGAGACAGGGGATTCGAACGCCGAACGGAAAAGGTTCGAGCGAAGTCTCTATGTGGGATCCATCTCCACTCCCCCCAGAAGAAAGGAAGGACGGACCCGATCACGTTCGGGCCAGCAGATTTACCCAACTCCCCAAGCCCGCACAGGGATGAATTGGTGGTGAGCATGTGCATTGACAATGCTTTGATCCGCCGAGTACTGATCGATACCGGGAGCAGTGTGAATGTATTGTATTTACAATCATTCGAGAAAATGGGTCTACAAAGAAGTCAATTGACCCACCTAAGGACCCCGCTGGCAAGCTTTACCGGTAATTGTATTGAGGCTGAGGGGACCATCCAATTGATGGTTGAAATTGGGGATGAAACGCACAAAGCATCACTCCGAATGACGTTCGTGATGGTGGATATAAAATGTGCCCACAATGCCATATTGGGCCGACCGGGATTGGAAGATCTGGAGGCAATAGCCTCTGTCCGCCACTCATGCATCAAATTCCCCACTGACACCGGGGTTGGGGTGGCCAGAACTGATCCGACGACAGCCCATACATGTTACCGAGAGGCCTTAAAACAGATGAACACTCGTGGAATGCGGGTTAACACAATTGAGGTGGAGACCCACCGAACTGAGTTCAAGGCACACCCAGAACCCGCCACTCTCCTCAAACAAATCGACCTGGATTTCCCCCCGAACCGTAAGATAGCTATCGGGGTAGATCTGGAGGCTGACATTCGGGATGGCGTGATTGCCGTCCTAAAAAAGTTTCAGGTGTTGTTCGCCCGGGGGCCAGAAGATATGCCAGGTATTGACCTGGAGATAATATGTCACAAACTTGCCGTTCGGCCCGATGCAAAACCAGTCCAGCAAAAGAAACGATATCAAGCGACCGAACGGCGGGAATTCACAAAGCAGGAGGTGGCCACCTTGCTGAAAATAAAACACATCCGTCCAGTAATCCACGTAGAATGGCTATCGAATGTGGTCCTAGCTCCAAAACAATCTACTTGGAGAATGTGCGTGGATTACTCGGATCTGAATAAAGCTTGCCCCATGGACCCTTATCCAGTGCCGAGGATCGATCTGCTAGTAGATGAAACTGTCGGATGTGAATTGTTGAGCTTCATGGATGCATTCTGGGGTTAATATCAGATATTCATGCACCCAGCTGATGCAGAGAAAACAGCGTTTGTTACTTCGGATGGTGTGTT